ACTCACCTCAGCCTCCCAAAGCGCAGGATTACAGGCTGAGCCACCGAGCCCGGCTTATGCCCTCTTTCACTTTGCCAAAGACCACATGCTTGCCATCCAACCATTCAGTCTTAGTAGTACAGATGAAAAACTGGGAACCATTTGTGTCGAGTCCAACATTTGCCATGGACCAAATACCAGAATCTGTATACTTCAGGAGGAAATTCTCATAATCAAATTTCTCCCCATAGATGAACTTGCCACCAGTGCCACTATGGCATGTGAAGTCACCACCCTGGCACATAAACCCTGGAATAATTCTGTGAAAGCAGGAACCCTTATAACAGAATCCTTTCTCCCTAGTGCTCAGAGCACAAAAGTTTTTTTTGTTTTTTGCTGTCTTTGGAACTTTGTCTGCAAACAGTTTGGAGGAGATGTGGCCCAAGGGCATAGTAGGGTTGACAGAAAAGGGCTTTAAACTGCAGCAGATGCAAAAGGCGATCCTGTTGTTTTTTATTCCGCTTTATTTCTCCTTAAAACTCCAGTTCTCTTCAATCCTAACAATTAACTGTGATATCTGCGTTCTCCAAGTGTTTGTCATTCTCTCTTTTTTGACTTCCCTTGGGGAAATCAGAAGAGCTGATAAAGTAGGTCTCTGATCCAACTTTTTACGGGAAACTAAGCTAAAAAGAGGTTGGGATGTGCGGTCGTTGCTGCCATCAGGGCAAAATATGATAAAGAATTTGGCTGAAACATTTGCATATTTACAGTGAAGGCAGCATGAGGATGGAAAGAAGTGGGTTTGGTATCAGACAGACTCAGGTTTGGATTCCTATGCTGTTCCGTATTAGTTTTATGTCCTTAACTCCACTGAGCTCCCATTTACTGTCTGTTAAGTGATTTCCTCTGACACAAGGCTGCCCTAAGGTCATACTGAGATGCGTATCAAGGGCCTAAAGACAAGGAAGAAAGCCTTGATCAATTTGCCTTCTGGCCTATGGCAGGCCCTGGTGAGTGGTTACTCACCACTGATAACCAATTCATCCACACACTCTTGCCCTTCTAATAGAAGGCCCATTTTCTTCCAATCGCCATAGCATGTCTTCAGGAAAGCCTGTCCCTAACCTTGGCTCCAGGGCTATTTCCTAGTTGGTCTGCACTAATCACCATTATCTCATTCCCCTTACCAGTTACTGAATTAGGCATGGGTACACAAAGCAATTCTGCACCAATGAGATTATTAAGTCTGGGCAACATAGTGAGACCCTGTCTCTACAAAAAAATTAATCTAGCCAGGTGTAGTGGCATGTGCCTTGTAGTCCCAGCTACTCCAAGAGTCAGCTTTGGTTGAAAGTTAGTTCTACATTTTCATTTGTTAAATTAAACTAAACTTGGCCTAAGGAAGCTTCCATACTTGGATCCTTACATAACAAACTGCAACCTTAGCTTGCAGACTAACTGGAAACCTAATTTAGAAGTATACTTTAGTAACAAATAAGCTGAGTCTCAGCCAATCACAGCAGCTGAGCCTCAGTTAGTTGCAGGTAGCTAAACTAAGCTGTAGCCAATCAACTGTCTCTATACCTCATCTGCTTTCTGTCTGTGAATGCTTTCAGACCATGTTGTAGCCGTGAGCTCTCCCAACCGGTCCTAGTTCTGAGGGCTGCCCAATTCTAGAATCACAAATAAGTCAATTAAGATATGCAAAACTAGATTTGCTACAAATATGTCTTTTAACCTTTGATTTTAAAAGGACACACAGAAGGTGATACCTTTCCTGCCTTAGAAATTATGTCTGGATTGATGCTTAGAATGCCTGCAGCCAGGCTTTGACAAAGGGCAATAAGCTTGAAGACAAAACCAACACAAAAGGAGAACAGAGCAGAAGATGGAAAGGTCCTATGCCAATTGAAAATGAGTCACTCAATTAACCAGCCTTGGACTTCATGTTATCAGGGAAAAGTGTTTATTGTTTCCACCTCTTTTTTTTTTTAAGTTGGAGTCTCACTTTGTCACCCAGGCTGGAGTGCAGTAGCACGCTCACGGCCACCGCAGCCTTGACCTACTGGGCTCAGGTGCTCCATCCGCTTCAGCCTTCCAAGTAGCTGGAACTACAGGAATGCGCCACCATGCCCGGCTGATTTTTGGATTTATTGTAGAGATGAAGTCTCACCAAGTTGCTCAAGCTGGTCTTGAACCCATGGGCTCAGGCAATCCTCTCACCTCAGCCTCCCAAAGTATAGGATTATAGGCGTGAGCCACCGTGCCCAGCCTGTTTATACCTCTTTACGCCAGGTTGTTACTTGCAGCCTCAGTGAGACATGGACCTTTTGCCTGAGACACTTGGGGAGTTCAAGTACCTGACTTAATTAAGGCCATCAAGTGATAGCAAATAGTAGGGACTCAACATTAATTTTGTCTAATACCAAATGAAGGACATGTAATAGTCCCCTGTAGAAAGATAGATAAAAAGAGACTCTGGTAACCCAATGACTAGATCAAGAGAAAAACATACCTGCCTTCCTCCTTTGCCATCTTTAAAATGCGTTAAAACCCACTCATTCGTGTATATATACATTTTTCTTTTTCTAGGACTAGAGAGTGTTCTCAGGTCTCAAACCACCCCCGCAGGGGAAATTGAAAGCTGATGCTTTGTTGAAGAAACTGCTGAACTAGAGCTGGTCCTTTTTTAAATTTAATATATTTTTTAAAATTACTCATATATTTAATAACTACCAGGTTCCCATAATGTGAAGAGAAAAGCTGACAAAAAAGTGGGAGCCCATGGGCAGACACATGAACAGAAGTACAAGTGACTAGTACGGGGAGTTATTATAGACATCAATCTAGATCACAGTGAAGGCATAAGAAAGGGAGGATTTTAGGGTGGGTGTGCACTAGGCACAGTGGGAGACAGAGGCAGGCATATAAGCAAAGGAAGCTAATGGCAATTGGGCAGGAGGGTCAGCCTGGCCCGAGGCCTGTTAGGGAACTGCAGTGTGGCGTGGCTGAACAGAGAGTGCAGTGGAAGCACGCAGCAAGACAAAGTCCAGGAGCAAGCCGGCTGTGAGGGGGGAGGCCTGCAGGAATGTCACCCAGTAGTCTGGAGTAGCAGTGAATGGAGTGCCTCCCATAGCCAGAGCGGTCACCAAGATGAGGGCTATGGCACTTTCAGCTGGTGTCAGTGCCCCAGCCGGAGTAGACTGTATGGATTGGAAAATATAGGCAATATGGGGATTGAAAGACTCCTGGCCTACGAATCAGTGGTCCTGGGTTCCAGTCCCTGCTCTGCCACTAGGACTGTCATTTTTTCTTCTTTGGTGCTCATATTTCTTCTGTTAAATGACAGATGATCTTTACAGGGCCTCTCAAACTGCAGTTCTGGGGTCCTTACTTAGGTAAAAACACCTGGACTCATTACATACAGGAAACAGGGCAGATTGGCCCAGGACAGAGATGGCAACGAGGCTCCACCTTGAATGTCAACTCTGACTCGTAGTTGCTACCTGGAGTGCGGTATTGAAAAAAACTGCAAAATACTCCAAACTCTGCAAAAAATAATGCCTATGATTAATTGGTGATGTCTGTGGACTCAGGATGCCCAAAAGGTAGCTGGAGCGGCATAAATTTGCCCTTCCTAGCTTAATGTATTACTTCTTACTGTGACTGCAGGAATGTGCCAACCACCTATGGTGTAAAGATACGAAGATTAACTTCTGGAGTCTTCTGTGAAAGTGTGGGAGGGTTTCCTCAGTCTTAGGCTCACTAACCTATCTCGAGCAAGTTTGCCACTCATTCTCTATTTTCCATGCTTCTTGCTTCCATCGTTGCTGTGTCCACCACCTCTAAATGTCATATCTGCTTTGGGTAATTCTGACCCCTCCCCTTTCCTACAGCCAAGACACAACTAATTGATTACACAACAGGCTCTCTATCCAAGAAAGGGGACCTTCCTTTCAAAAAATGTGGGCAATAATCAATCCTGATCATTTCTCTACTTTGCCTTTTATTTTCAATTCCCTGGCATCGTCCTTCCCCAGGCAGGGTCATGGCTCTTGGAAGGATGGCCACAGTGCTAGTAACAGACAGGAGGGTTATTTCATATATTAGGGCACTAGGCTGTGGTACAACTGGCAGGAAGAGAGGTGTAATTATATTGCCTCCTGGAGCCACCAGCAATGAATTTCTGCATAAAGGACTAGATTTGCCATGTATTATTTACGTCAGCATCAATTTTCCCAGCTGGCTCTATTTACTGTGCAAATTCTCCTGTCTGTTTATGGGCAAGGCCATGGTTCAGCACCTCTGGTTACTCTATATTGTGGAGGGGCCTCAGAGGGCACCATGCATATTAAACAAGTGGCTGGATTCACCAGGAGCAGGTCCCATCCTCCCTTCCTGTTAAATTATATCCCTGGGACTGCAGTGAGCTCATGTTCTCACCTAGTCATGGAGATGCATGCAGGTGTGTGAAACCAAACCAGCAAGAGGAAAGGAGGAATAACTGTTTATTGAGGCCTCACCAGGAGAAACTGAAAAATAACCTTTTGGGGGGAAACCAGGGGGCTTGGGATCTCAGGGGATTTTCTTTTTATACTTTTTTTTTTGTTTTTGTTTTTTTAGTTAGAAGTCTCACTCTGTCACCCAGGCTGGAGTGCAGTGGCATACTCATGGCCACTGCAGCCTCGACCTGCTGGGCTCTGGCGATCCTTCTGCCTCAGCCTTGCAAGTAGCTGGAAACACAGGTACGTGCCACCATGACCGGCCTAATTTTTTTTTATCTATTGTAGAGACGAGGTCTCGCCACATTGCCCAGGCTGGTCTTGAACCCCTGGATTCAGGCAATCCTCTTGCCTAGGTCTCCCAAAATGCTGAGATTATAGGCATGAGTCACTACGCCCGGCCCCTTTTTATACTTTTAAAAGCAGAATACAGAACACAGAGTTTTGCATTCATGAAATTATTTCCACCCAGTAAATCAGAGACAGTGCTAAGGGAAAGGGCACTCCCATTTTACAGATGGAAAAGCAGAGGCAAAAAAAGAGAAGCAAAGTCAAGCTAGAGGCTTCCTGTCTCAGTCACTGTGCTAGGATAGAGCATGGGACACAATGGTTGCCTGGTGGTTATCCATCCAGTCACTAGCCTGCCTCTTCAGAGGTGCCCCAGGCAATGGTGAACTCAGCTTCCACCAGAAACATACAGGTGGAAACAAGGGAAGGAAACATGGCACCAGCATGAATTTCTGCGTCCTCCCATGGCAGCATCCTCTCTTGCTGAGGCTTTATATGCTTCCACAGAGAGTGAAGTGGAGGAAATCGAGATGTCTCTTCTGGTCAGGCAGAGAACTTCTGTAGTCCCAAGCGCTGGGTGGCAGTAGACAGCAGGCATTACTGGGAAGGAAAGTCGGGGGCCTCAATGCCTCCCTCCTTCACAGTCAGCAGCACCAGTCATGTCTGATCTCCCTTTAACGATGGGCTCTGCCCCGGAGTCCCCCAGGTCCCAATGTCTACCATCTCCCGGACACCTGTCGGCTGAAAGAATAGGAGGGAGGGGTAATGGAGTTAAGCACCCAAGTGGGATAGCCGCTTTCACTGCAGGGTCTTCGTATTTATAGAATTCTTCTCAAAGACATCTGTACATGAAACCCAGCCTCCAGGGCCCAAGATTACTAGCATCTCCCTAGGGCTGGCTCACCTGACGGGGAGATTTGGTCAGACACACCATGCGCTGGCTGCCTGATGTCCCAGTTTCCTCAATGACGTTCAGGAGAATCCGGGTGCTGGGCACAAAGCTCCAGGAGCGCCCAAGGGCAGGTTTGAGCCTCCCACTGTCCCTGTCTCGAGTTATGTGGTTGGTTACCTGCAGCAGAAAGACTTACAGATCCATAATGGTAGCATAGAGGACATCTGTTCCCACTGCTTCATTTTACAGATGGGAAAATAGGCCTCATGCAGAGATATGACTTCCTCAAGGTTCCATAATTTAATGACAGGTCTAAAACTAGAACCCGGGACTCCTGACTTGGACCCAGCTCTTTCCACTAAATCTGGATGCCTTAGGCCTGATCTCAACCAGAAGGCAACGGGGCACATGTCTGGGAAAAAGCAGTGCTATTTGCACTTCCCTAAAGGGAAGCCAGTAGTGGGCTTGAAACTACATACACCCAACCCAACAACGGACATCTGGAGACCATGTCCACCCTGCTTTTTCTGTCTGGGAGTGTGTCTGTGTGAGTATGGGGCTAGGGGGAAGTTTTGGAGGGGTCCTAATATGACTGGTCAGCACTACTCTGCCCAGGCTAGTCACGGAGGTCAGCAGCTCAAGCCTTGGAGCATACTGGATGGGGCCCTTCAGGATAGGAGCTGTGGCTTATTCATCGTCATCTCTGCCTAAGCCAGAGTCTGGCACACAGCAGGCGATCACACACATCCAGAAGCCAGGAAAGGAAAGGAAGGCCCTGGGAACTTGTATTAGAACAAAGAATGGAAACAGATCCTCTTACGCTGCCGGAAGATGCACAAATTAGCAAACTATCCTGGAAATTCAGCAATGTCTTATGTAGACATTTAGAAATACATGTATCCCTCATTAATTATACATTTAAGAATTATTTTGAGGAAATTAGATGTGCAAAGAGATTTAGATATAAGGATGTTCAATGTAGTTTTATCTATAACAGAGGAAAACCAGTAATGACCTAAAGGCCTAATGTCAAGAACTAGTTAGATCGTTATGGAGCAGCAGGGGTTGGCAAACTGTGGCCCACAGGCCAAATTTAGCCTGGAAATTGTTTTTGTAAATCAAGTTTTAATGGAACAGAGGCGGGCCCACTTGTTTATATATTATCCATGGCTGCTTTCATGCTACATTGGCAGAGTTGAATAGTTATGACACAGATCTCACATGGCTGTAAAACCTCAAATATTTACTATCCAGCCCACTATAGAAAAAGCTTGCTGATTCCTGTGATATAGGCAATTAAAAAAAAAACAGTATGTAGCTATAAGGCCACAGTGAATACCAGTATACACTGGTACTATATAGTATACCAGCGCCTCAAAAAATTAAAAATAGAATTAATGTATGATCCACTTTTTCAACTTCTGGGTTTATATCCAAAAGAAGCAAAAGCAGGGACATATACAGATATTTGTACATCTGCGTACACAGTGGCATTATTCACAATAGCTAAAAGGTGGAAGTAATCCAGGTATCGATCCACAGATGAGTGGCTAATCAAAATGTGATAATGTGATACACACAATCAGTGGAATATTATTCAGACTTAAATCTTTTTTTTTTTGAGTTGGAGTCTCACTCTGTCACCCAGACATGCTATAACATGGATGAACCTCGGGGACATTATGCTAAGTGAAATAAGCCAGAAACAAAAAGGCAAATACTATATAATTCCATTTATATTAGGCAGCTACAGTTGTCAAAAGCATTGATACAGAAAACTGAATGGTGGGTGCCAGGGGCTGGGGGAGGGGACGAGGAGTTATTTTTAATGGGTACAGAGTTTCAGTTTCACAAGATGAAAAAGTTTGAAGTTGGATGGTGGTGATGGTTGTACAACACTAGGAATGTATTTAATTTTACTAGTTTTATTTTGTTTTATTTTTTGTTTTGCTTCAGAGACAGGGACTCACTATGTTGCCCAGATTGAAGGGCAGTGACTATTCACTAGGCACAATCATCTCTCACTACAGCCCCAAACTCCTGGGCTCAAGCAATCTCCGTCTCAGCCTGCTGAGTAGCCAGAACTACAGGCATATGTCATCATACCTGGCTGAACTGTACATTTTAAAATGGTTTGACTAAATCCCAGCACTCTGGGAGGTCAAGATGGGAGGACTACTTGAGTCCAGGAGTTCGAGACCAGCCTGGGGGCAACATAGCAAGATCTTCTATCTACAGACAAATAAAAAAAAATAGCCAGGTGTGGTGATGCATGCCTGTAGTCCCAGCTACTTGGGAGACTCAGGCAGGAGGATCTCTCGAGCCCAGAAGTTCGAGCTTGTGGTGAGTTGCTCATGCCACTATACTCCAGTCTGGGTTACATGGTGAGATCTGACTCTTTAAAAAAAAAAAAAGTTGCTGGGCTCAGTGGCTCAGCCTGTAATCCCAGCACTTTGGGAGGCTGAGGCGAGTGGATTGCCTGAGCCCATGGGTTTGAAACCAGCCCCAGCAACTTGGTGACACCTTGTGTCTACAATAAATAAAAAATTAGCCAGGCGTGGTAGCACGCACCTGTAGTTCTGGCTACTTGGAAAACTGAGGCGAAAGGATCACTGGAGCCCTGCAGGTTGATGCTGGGGTGGTCATGAGTATGCCACCCCCCCCAAAAAAAGTTCAAATAGTACATTTTAAACCACAATAAAAGCAATCGGAAAACATATGTAGCTGCTAAAGATGACCTTTTTTTAAAAATTGGAGTCTTAATCTGTCACCTATGCTGGAGTGCAGTCGCATGCTCACAGCCACTGTAGCCTCGAACTGCTGGTCTCAGGTGATCCTTCTACCTCAGCCTTCCAAGTAGCTGGAACTACAGGCACACACTACCATGCCTGGCTAATTTTTTAATTTATTGTAGAGATGAGATCTTGCCAAGTCGCCCAGGCTGGTCTCGAACCCATGGGCTCAGGCAATCCTCTCACCTTGGCCTCCCAAAGTGCTGGGATTATAGGCGTGAGTCATCACGCCTGGCCAAAATGACTTTCTTAAAGAATTTATTTTAAAACATGGAAAATGGACTAAGATATACGTTTTTGTTTCTGTTTTTGAGTTGGAGTCTCACTCTGTCGCCCAGACTGGAGTGCAGTGGCCGCTCCCGGCCTCCGCAGCCTCACCTGCTGGGCTTCAGCGATCCTTCCGCCTCAGCCTTCCAAGGAGTTGGAACTACAGGCGTGCAACACCACGCCCAGCTAGTTTTTTTTTTTAATTTTATGGTAGAGATGAGGTCTCGCCAAGTTGCCCAGGCAGGTCTCGAACCCGCGGGCTCAGGCAATTCACTCACTTCAGCCTCCCAAAGGCGTGGGATTACAGGCTGAGCCACTGAGCCCGGCTGATATAAGTTGTTTTTTTTTTTTTAAAACAAGGTTGTTTTAGTTAGAAAGTTGGTTAAAAGTGTAAGTAGATATGCAGAAATAGACTTTGTGAAGATATTTCAAAATATTAATATGGTTTAAATGGATATAGAGACTGATAACAAATTTGAATCTTATATTTAACTACTTTTTACCCTATTAGAAGTGTGCAGACTTTTAAAAAAACTACTTCATAAGCAGAAAAAGTTACTTCAACAGCAAAAAGGTCCATTTATATGAAGCTCTGGAAAAGGTCAAACTATTGGAATAGAAAATAGATCAGTGGTTGCCCGGGACTTGGGGACCTTTCAGTGGAGTAACAAGGCAAAATATAACTGTATCTATTAGTCAAACTTCCAATGAGGAGAAAGTTACTCTCAGTAAACTTGCCTCAACAAACCTGATTTATAAAGAAAAAAAAGTATAAAGAAAAACAAGCCAGGCGCGGTGGCTCACACCTGTAATTCCAGCACTTTGGGAGGCTGAGGTGAGAGAATTGCCTGAGCCCACAGGTTTGAGACCGGCCTGGGCAACTTGGAGAGACCTCAACTCTACAATAAATCAAGAAAAATGAGCTGAGCGTGGTGGTGCATGCCTGTAATTCCAGCTACTTGGAAGGCTGAGGTGGAAGGATCACTTGAGCCCAGCAGGTAGAGGCTGCAGTGGCCATGAAGGTGTCACTGTACTCCAGCCTAGGTGACAGAGGGAGACTCCAACTCAAAAAAAAAAAAAAAAGAAAAGACAGTTCCTGACTCCCTTGGCTATTTATGGTCCAGAGCCCTAGCTGACCCTGGGAAACTGGGCTATGTCCCTTTCCTAAAGGGCCACTTTGGGGGTCAGAAGCTGCCATGTAGGGGAAATAAAGAGCTAGCTATAACTAGAAATCAACCGTGCTTCCTCACCACCACTGCCATGCCAAGGTCCCGGGCCAAGGTCTTCAGCTCTCGGGCCAGCTGCATCATCAAGGCCAAGCCTGGAGGAAGAGAAGCAGAGAAAGAGGGCAGCAGGGGACCAGGGATGCGGCTGGCCAGGGACCAGACTCCAGAGCTGGGAGACAAGGTCATGTTCCCCTGACCCAGGCTTTGCCACACAACTCACCTTCCCTCTGCTGACCTCCCAGAAGTGGGGAGACCACTGCAGTGACTGAGTCGACAACCACCATCCTCAAAGTCCCCGAAGAACTGCTTACCTGAAGGGATTGGAGGAGAGTAGGTCCCATGAACCTGCCAGCCTTTAGGGCACACCCATCACAGGACAAGTTAGCTCCAGCATCTGAAACTAGGAAGAAATAACCTCCCCATCCCAAATATAAGCTGCCAACATCATGGGGTGTGATCATCAACAATGTCTCCCCACATCCCATTGGTAAACATAATAGATTTTACTGAAGACTTGGGTAGAAAGAAAGGCTTTAAATCACAAAGCACCACAAATATACTAACATAATCACATTTTAGAGAGCCCCATTAGAAGTCCAATGGTCCCCGGTCACAAATCTCTCCATGGTCATCTTGCTCCTGCATCCAGCCTCCCACCATCTGCTTTTCCTTTCCTGACTTCCTCCCCTCTTTTCTCTCTCCTGCTAATTTTCACCCCCAAATTCCTAACTTCCCTCGCTGAAGAATTTAGCCTTCTCTTTTTTTTTTTTTTTTTTTTTTGAGTTGGAGTCTCACTCTTTCGCTCAGACTGGAGTGCAGTGGCCGCTCCCAGCCACCGCAGCCTAGACCTGCTGGGCTCCGGCGACCCTTCCGCCTCAGCCTTCCAAGTAGCTGGAATTACAGGTGTGCACTACCATGCCTGGTTGATTTTTGGTTTATTGTAGAGATGAGGTCTCGCCAAGTTGCCCAGGCAGGTCTCGAACCCGTGGGCTCAGGCAATCCACTCACCTCAGCCTCCCAAAGGCACGGGATTACAGGCTGAGCCATCGAGCCCGGCTTAGCCTTCTCTTTATCATCTTCTTTTTTTTTTTTTTGAGTTGGAGTCTCACTCTGTCGCCCAGACTGAGTGCAGTGGCCACTCCCGACCACCGCAGCCTCGCCTGCTGGGCTCCGGCGATCCTTCCACCTCAGCCTTCCAAGTAGCTGGAACTACAGCCGAGCAATACCACACCCAGCTAAGTCTTTATCATCTTCTAGATCATGCCTCCAAGGCCTCATCTTCCATATCTAAAATGCTTCCAAATAAAGGTAGTTCATTCTCTAAGAGGAACTCTGTTACCATTTTTCAAACCATAATTTTCTATCTCTACACAAGCATAAGCATCTTCCTGGTTTCTTTGGACCTAAACTATCTTTGATGCTTCCTTTCTCTTCTCCCTTACTTCTCGCATCATAATTTTGTTTCTTTTTTTTTTTTTTTTTTTTTT